AGTGGACAGAGCTCTGGCCTTGGAGTCAGGAGCACCTGAGTTCAAATCCAGCCTCAGACACAAAAAAACACTCACCAGCTGTGTGACCCTGGGCAAGTCACTTAACCCCATTGCCTCATCAAAAAAAAAAAAAATTAGAATGAGTGTTGCTTACCTGGGGCATAAATTTGGAATGTACTGGAGAACCTATGAATACATAATCAAATCTACTGACTGATATCATTCATTGTTTTCTTGGAATTAGTGAATTCTTGTAAGACAGGCACTGTTTTGTTTTTGTTTTTGTATCTCTAATCGTTAGCATGCTGCCTTGCATATAGTTTGTATTTAATAAATATTTGCTGACTTGCTGAAACAAAGTTGAAAAGACAAAGAAACCAAAACCTCAACCACCAAATTGGTCAAAAAAATCATATTCCCTCCCCACAATGGTCCTCCTACAAAAAAAAAAATTTAACATTTATTAATTACTTACAGTATGTGAAGTACTGTAGTAAGTACTAGGGGAAATTAGAAACTTGAGATAAAACATGATTCCTGGCCTCAAGGATAAGGGGAAATATGTGAATAAAATGTGATAGCACATATTATATATTTTTTGTCAGAGCTGCAAAACCATGATACATGACGCCTGAGTGGAAAGGATGTTACCAGGAAGGGTTACCTGGAGGAAGTCCCATTTGATTTGGACTTTAAAGGATGGCCAGGAATTCAACTGGTGAAGCCAGGGAGAATGTTTCAACGATGCAAGTTTCAACTGCATAGTTAACATTTCAAACTTTCTTTAAAGAATTAAGCTTTGGGGGTAACTAGGTGGGGTACAGTGGATAAAGCACCAGCCTTGGAGTCAGGAGGACCTGAGTCCAAATCTGGTCTCAGACCAGACACTTGACATTTACTAGCTGTGTGACCCTGGGCAAGTCACTTAACCCCAATTGCCTTACCAAAAAAAAAAAAAAAAAAAAAAAAAAAAAAAAAAAAAGAATTAAGCTTCTCAACCAGTTTCTCTGCAGTTACTTTTAAATGGGATGCAACATTTTACTCATCTCTTCCTTTCCCACATTTGTCTGCCTTTATTTTCATAATCTCTGAGTATTTGTTTTGTCTCATTCAATTTCCTTCTCCATATCTCTCTATTCCTACTTTTAAGTTTCAACCCAAGTGAATACACATATATATATTTTTTTTTTGGCTAAGCAATGGGGTTAAATGACTTGCTCGGGGTCACACAGCTAGTGTGTGTTATGTGACTGAGGTCACATTTGAATTTGGGTCCTCCTGACTCCAGGGCCGGTGCTCTATCCACTTCGCCACCTAGCTGCCCCCAAAAGTGAATTTTTTCCTCCCTATAAATGAGTAGATGAGTTAAGACAGTACTGAAAAATTTATCAGCTTTTGAATGCTACTAGTGGAGACAGAGGAATTAATATGGTGGGAGTTTCCTCCAGGGCATGGCAGTACAAAGCATCAGGTCTAGAGCAGGACATTCTCAAAATGGCTGGGAACATTGTTTACTCTAAGTCAATGAACACAAATGCAGCTCTCTCAGCGAGAGGGATGGCACCAGTAAAAGCTGTGGAGTAAACAGAGGGGACAGACTTTGTGGCTTGCAAACACTCTTGTCAAGTATCCCATATCCCAAAGCTTGCACTCTTGCCTTAGGACCTTTTTGCTACATCTTCTAGTGGAGGCCAAGCTCCTCTAACTAAAATTTACCATTAGTCTAGGACCTTATCCTTTGCAGTTGCTAAGTATCAACTAGCTAATCTGATCAGAGGAGAGCTGGAGCAACTCCTAGAGATAAGTGGCCTGCCTTTTGTGGCTTTAATGAGAGGTGATAGAGATATTTCTGGGCAGGCCCAGGCCTAGGGAAGCCATATTCCACAATGTGTCCTTCCCCCTCACTAATCCCCAAGTTTTTACCAAATATGGTTTGAATGCTTATCTTCCTTCTAGCCCTGTGGCAATAACATTTTTCTGAAAGATTCTGGTTTTCATACCCTCTTCCTCCAAAAGATTAACTGTTAAGTCACTACAAAAGACATTAATTGTTAAACTGAACTATTTATCTTAGATAAATAGGAATGTTTCTCTTAAAAAATACAAAAAAAAAATAAAATAAAATAGCTCCCCCCAAGCTTCTTAGGCTCAGCAGAGAAAGACATTCTTCATTCCAAAATGGAGAAAACACGGGAGGTCACTAAAAACTGAACTTTGCCATAAGAACAGTGGGCACCTTTGAGAAGATATTGAACTACAAGCTCCATATGGAAACAATTTAAGTTTGAATTTTGGCTGGGAAAGTCCATTAACCATTTTTTCCTAAACTCTGATTTAGGATTTTATTAATTTAAAAGAAAAAGACCACGTGACTTGCCAAGACCACAAAGGAAATGGCATTGGTGAACTCTGACTTCAGAAGAGTGTAATATTTTTCATCATCATAAAACGAAAGAAAAAACCCACACTGGCCCAAAGGGATACAGGTTTCAAGGTCTCCCTCTGATCTCATGCCAAATATTCCAGGCAGGGAAGTTCTATTTACATAAAACAGCTATAAATTGTAACTGAAAACTAATGCCCATTGCATGGGTTTATTTAATAAAAACAGGAATAAGGAAGCATTACATATATGTCACCATTTAATAACAAATAGTCTACCCTGAACTTCTGAATCACTGGGTAGGATGGTTTCTTAGGAAAACACCATGCTGTTAACGATAGGGTTGAATGGAGTAGACTAGAGGAAGGAATATTCCAGGTAACCCTTCCACTGACCTAGTCCCACACTCTTCCCTTTATTCTTTTATTTTGGAATATTTGCATTGACTTAGGAACAAGGATTTCAAGTACTTTTTAGGTAATTCTTGCTTTAATCAGTAAAATCTCCAAATAATTACATTCTACTTACACCATCTCAACTAGGGAGAAATGAAGACCATATAAGAATTTCCCACGGATTAGAAGTAAATGAACTACTACAGTCCCATCCCAGCTTGTTCTTTAACAACATCTTTGAAATATAAATAAATAGATTATGAAAGTCAATGAAATTTAATCCCTTAAAACAAATCTAACTTATGCAGCTTTGTTGGAAAAAAGTCAATGTTCACAGAGTATGTAATTTGAATTTTATTTTTATTTTATTTCATAATAGGCTTACCCATGAGAAGAGCCTATTTCCATCAAAGGCCACGAGATGTCAACATTTAGAATGCAGTTTAACTGCACCAGAAATTGGATAGTTATACTGAACAAGTGTAAATTGTTTCCCAGAGTTGGTCATATTTTTCACTATAGCCACAGTAGTATCAGAAATGCCCAATGGACTCTCATTATCCCTGCTTAAAAGGAAAGTATAAGGGTAGACCAGAAAGTCAAATGCAACTGACTTACTTAAAATCTAGCATGAGGTATTAAATCTACATGAGCTTGGAGCTTAATGATTTCTCCCCTTTTATGTCTTTATGGAATGGGAGGCTATAGTATTCCCAAGGCAGGGTTCAGAAATTGGATTAAAGAGACCACAGAAATCAGAACATAGAGGATCACTGAGCTAAACTCAAAGTTAAATAAGGTAGCTGCCAAATGTAAGAACTTACACAAAAAGCACATTATAGGCATTTTCTTCCTCTCAAATGCTCTTTAGGATTAATGGAACTGCAACTAATTATAGGAAGTATTCAATATTGTAAATAAGAAAGGACCTAGGAGTCAGGGTATTAGTGTTGAAGTCTCATCTCTACCACTAAACTACTGGTCTACCATGGGGCACATCATTTCATTTCTGTTCAAATAAGGGGATGGATTAAGATGAGGATGACCAGAGAAGAAGGGAACTCAAAATTATGTCATATTTGGATCCTTCATGAGAACAAGGGGACATGTTCTTCAGGTATCAGATTACTGTCCTGCTTGTCTGATCTAAGGAAGAAGGTATTAGGAGAGAAATGTAAAAAGTTGTGTATCACCACTATCTGTTTTGGACACTGCTCAAACTGAGGTACAAACATGAATGAATCGGGTAATTTTATGAATAATTCCATTATATCTAGGCCCACACAAGACATAATTATCATCATTATAAACATGCCCAAGATTGGGAAACTTACAGTATCAAGTATTTCTTTGGTATGCGCTGCTGACAAGCAAAACCTAGCTCGGGATTCAGTAATTGGTGTAGCAGGAAATCCCACCACAACCACACCGATGTTCCGCTTCAACATCTCCCGTCCAAATGCACTAAAAGGGGAGAACACAAGGAAGAAAGTCAGAAAGAAAAAAAAAGAAATAAGGCTCTTGCTGTCCTGAACTGTGCTACTCTTTGGTGGATTGTGCACTAGAGATTATTTTGAATCACCCACTGCCTTCTTTTAGCTGTAGAATTGACAGGATACAAAGGCTTCTTTTGTTCATTCCTTAAGGTGGTCTTACCCCCAAATGGTTTCACTCACAAAGCTGAAAGATTATATTTGGCAGAGACAGGGGCTTTTTAGCAGGGCTGGTTTCAATGGATTTGTAACATAACCTATATCTTTCTGATATACTACAGTTACCCACAGGGCTTAAATGAACCCAAGTCTAAACCCTGGACCTTGGAATAAGAGGTTTGGCAGATTTCACACCTAGCAGGTGATCAAGTTATTGCCCAGAAGAAGAGAATCAGCTCTTACATAGTTGTTTTTGAGCTGCCAGGTTGGTCAAGTGGCTTAGCCCCTAGAATTGAAAATAATTCCAGACTCTGAACTTCTTTGATTACCTTGAGAACAAGATTGCCTTTGAAATTAAGCTCTTCCTTTTGTTTCCAAGGTCAGTTCATCATCCAGCTTTAGTAGATCACACAGTTCTGTTTATTAATCTCCCTTCCACCTGAAGCCAAGCCAGTGGGAGAGGCCAGTGGTGTCAAAATCAAACAGAAACAGAACCACAAGAGTGTACATAAAGATCTCTGTGAATGCATACTAACTCATAGAACCAGTTATTAATATTATCTATGTTATATTGCATTTTTAATTTATTTTGTTAAATAATTCCCACTTACATTATAATCTGGTTCTGCCTGCACTGTGGAGGGTTGTGGTAACAACATGGTTCACTTCTGGTATAGGCTATGGACTCCACATCTAAATTTTGTCTAAGTAGAACCTTGGGTCAAATATCCATGGAAATTCTGGTGTTTGCTTAATTAAACTGTCCTTTTCTCTTTTGTTCATGTTGATAGAGCACAGTTTAAAAACAAACAACTTTTCTTTTTAAGTTGTTCAAACTTCTTTAAAATGAAAACATTTTGTTCTTTACCAGTCCTTTTTTTTGTGGAGAATTGCACTTTCTTTTTTTTTTTTATCTTTTTTTAATTAATTTATTTTGATTTATCAACAATCACTTCCATATGCTTTTGAGTTTAAAATTTTTCTCCCCCTTCCCCACCCCACCCTCCCTAAGATGGTGCACAATCTGATATAGGCCATACATATACATTCCTAGTAAACATATTTTCACATTAGTGATGTTTTACGTAAGAATCAGAACCAATAGGAGGAACTACCAGAAAGAGGAAACAAAATTCAACAGAAGAAAAAAAAAAACCAAATAGTATGCTTTGATCTGCATTCAAACTCCCTTAGTTCTTTCTTTGGATGTGGTGGATAGCATTTTCCATCATGAGGCCTTTGGAGATGTCTTAGATCCTTGTATTGCTGGGAAGGGTTAAGTTTATCGATATTAGTCATAGAACAATGTGGCTGTTATTGTTTTACTATTCCTTTAACAGCAGCACTGGTTATGAGTTTTCTCTAGACCTTACCCAGCCGACTACTCTCTAGCATTTGCAGTGTTAATATTCCATAACAGGAGTAAAAAATAGTCAGGAATGTCTCACTATTACATGGAGGTAAAAACATTTTATTTTGCTCAACTTATTCCCCTAAACCCATCTATTTCTTTATTTCATTCTAGAGCTTCATTGTTTTCCTCTCTTTGTAAATAAATGCTTCATAATTTATATAATTTTATGTATCTTTCTGGAATACTTTAGATATAATCCTATCTGAAGACAGGCAACTGGGCTAGATGATCAAGCCTTGGGTATCTATGCCAAGTGCACTTAAAAACAGTCTCATTACATTAATAATTCTGGAAACCCCACCTGCCAGCTGCATAGATTTGTAAAGTGCTTCTGCAACAATCCTGTGAGGTAGGTAGTATGAATATTATAATCCTCTCTTTAAAGAGGAGTAAACTGAAGTTCAGAGAAGTAAAATACTGGCTGTGCTATCCATGGCTAGTAAATAGCAGAAGCCAGATTTGTACCTAGATCTTATTTCAAGTTCAGGGTTCTTTCTACTATACCATAGGGCTACCCCAAACATCCCAACACCACAGTAGCTCCTGAGTTCTATAAATATATAAAACAATCAACAATCTCTTGCTGAATTAATAAATTATTAACTCTGAATCTACTGAGTTTGTAAAATCTTTAGGAAGTAAAGGCTATTTTACTTACGTTAATAAAGAAGCTAAAGAATTTCCCCAACAACATAAACTCCAGAAAATAATGTATATTTTCATTAGCTGCTTGAAGTTCAGAAAGGGCCTTTTTTTTTTTAAAAGGCAATTGGAGTTAAGTGACTTGCCCAGGGTCACACAGCTAGTAAGCATCGAGTGTTTGATCTGAGGCCATATTTGAACTCAGGTCCTACTGACTTCAGGGCTGGTGCTCTATCCACTGTGCCACCTAGCTTCCCTCCATGAAACGGCCTTTTCAACAGACTGCTTTTTGACTTACCCAATTTTAGCTGGCATGTAGAGCATCAAAGGCACCACAGGGGAATCTTCATTTCCATAGATGATGAAGCCCATCTCCTTCAATCGCCTTCTGAAATACCTAGTGTTTTCAGCTAGCTGTTGTACACATTCTTTGCCTGGAAAACATGGAGGAAAAACATACACAAATGAAATCATCCACACATCAAGGACTATCCCTCAAAATACTGTTATCTTCCTTTGCACTTGGATTCAGAACCAGTTGATCAGTGTGACTCAGGAGAGAGAATGCCAGACTTGGGAGTCAGGGAGAATTGGGTTTAAATCCTGTCTCTGATACTTACTAGCTATGGACCCATGAACAAATCATTCTACCTACCTCTTAAGCCTTTTTCTTCTCATGTGTAAAAGGGAAATAAATCATCATACCCCCAGCACCTACCTCATGTGACTGTTGTGAGGCTTGAATGAGCGAAATGATGGATGTAAAGCTCTTTGCAAACTTGGCAACACATGCAGATGCCACTATGGTATTTTTGGACAGAGCATAATTCAGTTGGTCATCTAGGAACGATGTGGTTTTTGAGCACACAGGAGCTTAGCACAGCTCCTAGTGCATACTATGTGCTTAATAAATGTTTACTGGCTGAATGACTGACTCAAGAATGAAGAGTTTCTGAAGGATAGTAAAACTAGGAGGATATTGGCAAAATCTATGCTAACTTGAGTTCTTTTGATTAACTGAAAAACTCATAATGATGTGGTGATTTCCTCTATTAATAATAATTGACCCAAATGATTTTCATTTTTCAAAACAAAAAACGTTTTATTATCTGTATGCAACATACAGCATAATGATCTTTTCTCTCTAATTTTCCATATCTCCCCATCAATTAGTTTTTTCCTTGTTGCCTACAAACATGCCCAAATTTCCTCTACCCAGTAGAAAATCCTAAGTGGACCCTATCATCCCCGTCTGTCTTCCCTTTCATCACTAAATCCCTAGAAAAAGCTGTCTACACTCATTGTCTCCAACTTCTTCTAAATCCTTTGTAATTTGTCTTCCGACCTCATTACTCAACTGAATCTGCTCTATCTACAGTTACTACTAATGAGCAATCTTAATTGCTAAATCTACTGGTCTTTTTAAAGTCCTTATCCTTTGATTTTTACCTTTCAGCAGAATGTGACATATGACCACTCCTTTCCTCCTGGATACTTTCTCCTCTCTGAATTTTCATAGAACTGCTATCTCTGGGTTCTCCTCCTACCTGTCTGGCCACTCCTTTTTAGCCTCCTATACTGGTTCTTCTTTGGTATCATGCCCTCTGTGGGTATTTCCTAAGGTTCTTCCTGAACCATCTTCTGCTCTCACCTAGTGACCTCATCAGCTTCTAGGGTTTACTTATAATTTCTATGCTCCCCATTCCCTTTAAACTTCCTTTTATGTGTTGTCTTTTCCCATTAGAATATAAACTCCTTAAGAGCAGGCACTGTCTTTTTGCTTCTTAGTATTCCCAGCACTTAGCACAGTGCCTGGGACATAGTAAGTGCTTAATAAATGCTTGCTGATTTGACTTGACTTCTATACAGATGCCTCCTAAATCCACATATCCAGCTCTAGTTTCTATTAGATATTTGAAACTAAGGTCCTTATGCAACTCACACTGAACCATGTGCCAAACTGAACTCATTATCTTCCCCTCCCCAAATCCTCTCCTTCTCCCCCTTTTCAATTTTTCAGAGTGCAGTAACTACCATCCTACTAGTTATCAAACTCACAACCTTGGCATTATTCCTTTACTGTTCATTCTCCTTCACCCCTCCATATCTTGTTAGTTGCCAAATACTTTTGTTTTTACCTTCACAAAATCTCTAATATCTGTCCCTTTCTCTCTACTCACAGAGCCAAACTGACTTTCTTAAAGAGCAGATCTGACCATGTCACTCCCCTACTCAAATACCAATGCCTGTCTAATGCCTCAAGCACAACAGATAATCTCTACTGTTTAGTTTTTAAAAGTCCCTCATGACCTGGCCCAAACTTATCTTTATTATAAATCACTCCCCTTTCTACACTCTATAGTCCAGATAAGTTGATGTTTTTTTCCCTTCCTTGAACACTAAGTCTTTGCACTAGCTGATCCACATGCCTAGAATACTCTTGGAATACTTTGTCTCCTTCAAAACTTTGTTCAAATGACACCTTCTAAATGAAGCCTTTCATAATCCCCAGAGCTGCATGGGGTCCCCCTCACCCCTTTTTACCTTGCATTTATTTTGCATATATTGTCCTCTCCTGTAGAATGTAACCTCCCTGAAGACAGTGACTGTTTCATTTTTGTCTTTATCTCCTCAGTGCCCTGATTAATCTCTGCATTAATTATATTTGTCTTTGTCAACTCCTAGATAGGATTCATATCTAGTACCTCATTTTATAATGCATCCAGCATATCACCAAGAACAAATGTTGCTCTCTCATCAGATCCCTTGGTCTCAAGTATCATTTTATACAGATAACTCCCAAACCCAAAAAGACCTTCATCCTTTTCCTCAGTTTTAGACCCATATCTCCAACTGTCTGCTGGACATCTCTACCTGGATGTCATATAGGTATTTCAAATGCATGAGAACTCAGTATCTTTCCTTCTAAACCCATCCTTCTTCATAATATCTTTTTTCTGTCAAGGGTTACCACCCAGATTTCACCACCTAGAAGTCATCTTTCAGTCTTCATTCTTACTTCACCTTCTATAATCAATCAGGATATGATTTTGTTGATTCTACCTTCATATATGTTGCATTCTTACCACTCATACAACTACCACTTCACACCTTTCACTTGGACTACTGCAACAACTTTTAATAGGTCTTTCTTTGAGATCTTACATTTTGACATAATGGAACAGTGATTAAAAAAGGCATTTTAGTATCATGCATAATGTTTCCCAAAATGGTGGCTGCAGGAAAGTGTTAGTCTCTACTAAGCACCTCCCTCCCAGTCAGATAACTCTTTTGTTTCTTTCTATCTGGGTTTTTTCCATCCTGGCACCACTCCCCACCCCCCCACCCCCCTTCACCTCTCAGAGTAGTAGCTTGTGTTTGACCCAAGAAGCCTATTCATCAAGAATTTTAGATCTGGTAGAAAAGAATATGTATAGATCACATTGTGTTAACCATGTTAGTGAGCTGACAGGACAAATAAAATTCCAGTTCTCACATGACTCTAATGCCACTGGTAGGAGGATGCTAACAGTGAAGGCACTAGTCTCCTCCAAAAAAAAGGAAAAACATTTTGAATTAATAACTCCTGTTTTAAAGAACCTACGCTCAACTCACAATTAGATAGCTCTTTCCAGGCTCTTATTCCATGATCTCCTAAAAAGACAAACTATTAAAGTCAGTTAAAAATTTCAGCATAGTTGTTTTGTTACAAAAGCAGAAATTTATTTGCACTGGCAATTCCAAAATATAAAAATCCCTCTTCTAGTAAACATATCCCAATAAGTAATCTCATTGCAAGGTCCCTTTCAGTCAAGGGAAATAATTTCTTGCAAAAAAAAATGGGAATTTCTTTTTTCTTATATTTTTTATAGAATACATTTAAATACGAACTATCTTGAAAGATTTCTGCATGATTTGCAGCCAATCTACAAAACAAAGATGTCAATTATTCCCTTTAAAGCCAATTTTCTTACTTCAATATTCTGGGTAATGTTGATTTTGTAGATTTAAAAGAGAAAAAGAGTAAAAATAAAACTAGGAGAGAACAAAAACAGCCTATTTCTTGAATAATTCATAGCCATTCTTTTCTGAAAAAAAAATTATACCTAAAAATGGGGGGTAGGAGATGGGAGAAGCTTAATGAGAATATCTAGCATCTGGCAGATTATTTAATAATTTTCGAGATTCTTACACTCATTTACTAAAAAGACACTACACAGTTACATAGTTATAGAGCATTAAGTAACACAATTTGCCTATCATTTCTCTCCTTCTTCAGAAATCAAGATAGAAAAGTTGTCCTTTTTCTTAGCAATTCCTTTTAGTGACCTTTCCAGCAAATGGCTTTCTAGGAGGAGAGTGACAGCGAAGAGGAAGGGAGGAAATGAAAGAGAAGGTGGCTTCCAAAGTGACTGAATAGATCTTCCCACCCTCAGCCCTATCTCCTTTAGTCCCAGCCATTTGGGTGCTCTATTAAAAGCAGAGGGGTGTGGGTGAATTATTTTTCTGGGAAAAACCCTTATTCCTGATTTTCCTTCTAAAATACATGAAGCTGAAGAAATTTATGAGAAGAAATAGGTAAATGAATAAATTGTAAGTAATTATGGAAGAGAATGAAAAGAAATGTTTATATTTGGACTACGACATGGTGAATATGGTAAGATAGCATGTAGAATATACTTTTCAATGTCCTTTCTTTGTTCTCTTCCTTTATTCCCCTCTGCCCTTCACCTTTAAAAAGACTTACAAGTGTTATACCACACAAAGTGGCTCTATGTCTTGAAGCAAATACATCTACAATTTGGTATCATTACCCTGAGTTTCAGAAACGGGGAGGGAAGGTTAATAGCAGTCCCATGGAAAAAAAGAGTAGTGCTAGGTCAGTCACAAAAGTGAACACCAACCAACTCAGAAAAGAAATGAATTAATTGGCTTAGAAGGTTAAAGTACACTAATACTTAAACTTGTCACTCTTCTAATATTAAATCCAGAATTTCTTAAGTAATATGCAGGTGTTCACTGAATAAAAACTAATTAATATCCCCTCCTAAAGAGTATGTTTTTTATGTTTTTATATACATGATTATATGTGCACTTATTACACTAACAATTTACAAACAAAAGATATAAAGCATGTTTTGTTAGAATACTGTAAACATTTATAAGGTGAGATGCAAATCAACATCGTTTTAAATACTTCAGAAAGGCAGGCAGCCAAGTGGTACAGTGGATAGAGCACTGGCCCTGGAGTCAGGAGGACTTGAGTTCAAATGCAACCTCAGAGACTTGACACTAGCTGTGTGACCCTGCGCAAGTCGCTTAACCCCACTACCTAGCCAATAAATAAATACTTCAAAAAGGAGGGGATACTTGACAATACACCATACCTCTAAAATTAAAAAAAGAAAATCATCTCTTACAAAGCAATACACTG